CTATTTATGTTATTAAATGTAAAGAGTTATATCACAGTTTAAAAATCCATATTATTATACTGTGGTAATATTAAGTGCGAAAAGATAAATTGTATACCTACCTAGCGATTGTGAGTGTGAGTGGGCGTGAAATTAAAAAAAAAGTACTTAGTTTCTTTTATTTCTATTCTAGTTATGGCAAAATATGAAACATGACTTTATTAATAATGCGGATATAACACATTGTGTTCTATATAATCATATATTGGGTCCTTACATATGAAATGAGCGTTTTGCCGTACTCTCGTCTTTGGTTAAGAATTTCAAAATCAAATTTATCATTTCATTTAGCTGGTACATTTGAGCTGTGAAAATAGTCATTCTTTTGTTTTTTCCTCATTATTTTTTTCTTTCGCGTCGCTTATTACCGCACAATGGAAAACATGCAATATTGGTATATTACGATTGGTATTATATATATATATATATATATATATATATATATATATATATATATATATATATATATATATTTACACTTTTGCCATCTCATAGGTAGTTCATTGATCCCTTTACTAAAAAAACCATGGGGGGGGGGGAAGCAATAAAATCTTTGAAGGTGGTTTGGACTGCCGAATCGGAGTTGAATTTTTTTCCTTGAAAGAAGTTGTCCAAATTTCGGAAAAAATGGTATCTGTGGGAGATAGGTCCGGGGAAGTACGGTGGATGTCGCAGACATTGCAATTGTAGCTCATCTAACTTAGTGGTAATGATTGTTGTGCAGTGTGTGGTCTTGCGTTGTCGTGAAGCAGGGGTGGCCTGGAGCGATTGACCGATCTCGGTTGTTTAGCAGCTAGTTCTTCCTTCATGGTTTGCAGTTACTGACAAAAGATATCTGCTGTCATCGTTTGGCCAGATTTTAAAAAGCTGTAGTGAACGACACCGGCGCTAGTCCACCAAACACTAACAAGTAAATTTTTCTGAGTCAATTTTCATTTAGGACAGGATTTGGCTGGCTCTTGTGTGCAGCCATTACAACGAGCACTCCAGATTAGTGTACAGTATCCACTTTTAATCACAAGTAATGATTCGATTTAAAGTCCCTTCATTTTTGTGCCGTTTGAGCAAACTAACATGGCAGTCGACGCGTGTTTGCAAGTTCTATTCACTCAATTCAAAAAGTACCAATCGTTCAAGTTTTTTACTTTCCCGATTTGCTTCAAGTGGATTTAAACAGTTTTATCACTTACTCCGAAGCCTGCAGCTATCTCTGAAGTGCTTTGTGATAGATCCGCTTGCAAAATAGCATTTAATTCTTTATTTTCCACCTTGGTCTCCGGTCATCCACGGGGCTGGATCTGAAGATCGAAATTTCCGTACCGTGCTTTCTTTTGCGACACCAGCGCCATACACATCATTAATTCTTCGAGCTGTTTCTGCAGCACTGATGCCACGGTAGAACGCTTTTTATTCCATTTTCCATTCATTTATTCCATTGACTTTATATTCCTCCTGTATAAAACGCAAATTTCGTATGTAAGGACCTATTATTTGTTTGCATTATAAATCATACCTTTTAACAAAATAACAACCTAAGCGTTTTTTTTTGTGGCATGGATATATTCATTTATGAAAATCAATATATATATAACAGCTTAGATCTAAGAGATGCATGTAAATAATAGCTATTAGTTATATTTAAGTAGCTCAGATGAAGTAAAATCATCTGAGTTAAGTAATTAGTACCTGGATGACCGCGCTTTCCTCGGTATTTTTTTCTTTGGAAATCTTATGTTTTGGAAATTAATACTAAAAAAGGGCTCGAAATAATAGATTTTTTCACAAAGGAAGGGAACTTGAGAAAAAAGGAAAAAATGTCGGACCGAAACGAGGATGCGAACCAGGGTACTACGAGTACGATTTCGCGACTGCCTGCTTCTTATATTGTAGTAGTTTTTCATTGCCCGAAAACACCGACAAAATGACATATACCACTAAATTAGATGTGCTACAATTGCAATGTCTGCAACAGCCACCGTACTTCCCCGACCTATCTCCCACAGATACCATTTTTTCCGAAATTTGGACAACTTCTTTCAAGGAAAAAAATTCAACTCCGATTCGGCAGTCCAAACCACCTTCAAAGATTTTATTGATTCCCCCCCTCCATGGTTTTTTTAGTAAAGGGATCAATGAACTACCTATGAGATGGCAAAAGTGCATAGATAACAACGGTGCATACTTTGATTAATTAAATATATTTTACAAAAAAAAATTGACTTTATATTCCTCCTGTACAAAACGCAAATTTCGTATGTAAGCACCTATTATTTACAAAATAACAACCTAAGCGTTTTTTTGCAACGACGTATTTTTGAAATTACTAAACATTTTAAATAAATATATATCTGTCTCACTGACACAAATTGCGAAAACAATACCGTCGCTAAAACTAGATAAAGATATACACACCAAATATGCAATCGCGGGTTGGTGTGGCTTACTATATAAAATTTAACCCAAAATACGCAATATAAAGGAGTTTTTTAAGCTGCATTTAATTGTTTTTATTCAAAAAAGAAGTATATTTTTTATCAGGTGAATAGGAGTTAGCATAACTGATGAAATAAAATATATTTTATAAGTATTTTTATTGTACTAATAAATCAAACAATATAGAATAGGTAATAAAACATAATTAATATAAAATATAAAATTTATATAAAAATAAAATTATAATCAATATAAAATTAATAATATAAAATAGGTAATAAAATATATTTAATAGTAGTAGTTTTTATTTTTATTTTCTAAATATTTAAAATCAGAGGTAACAAATCAACTTACTTAATTAAATATATAGTCTCCCGTTAATGTGAGAAAATTACAAAGGCGGAAAAGTGGCAACATTTTACCCTAATCGCAATATTCGATAATTTTATATTATTTGAGGGTTTTATGTTTATATGAAAATATGAACTAAAACTTATATGTGGAAAGTGATTCCGCTTGATTTATTATGTTTTTGTGACCTTGAATCGCATTCTTTGACTACGAATTTACCCAATTTTTTGTTGCGAATCGTCCGGCTCAACTCTGTCGGCGTCACATTGAGCACTGAACTACGTAGTACTATTTTATTCTGTGACTGAACTGACGTTAGCTAGGCATGTGGCTGTGACTATATGTGCAGTGGCAACGCTTTGACGCGGTAGTTACTAATCTAGTGTAATATATAAATCAATGGTTTAAAGACTGTGACTCTTGAACGGATACACAAGCGACGTTACTGTCGCGCTCGCGTCGGCAACACGGAGTATAATATTCCGTGGTCGGTACATTATAAAGGCGCCCACCGCCGACCGCAAAAGGCTAACAGCATAATCATCAGAGATCAGACCACCTAGTCACGCAGACCTATGGTCAGGTCAAGCCAAGGTCAATAATATATTTTTTTAATTTTTCTGAACAATTATTTTTTAAATGTTATTTATACGAATTATACAACTAAAATTCAGAAGTATTTATTATAATTAGTCTCGTTACGAAATTACGAGTATTAAGATTAGGTATACGAGAAATATATTAAGAGAATTTACTGTAAATGCTATACCTATCTACCTTACTATTAGAACTACGTCGTCCTCGCAGGTCGATGTAGTGCTTGAGAAAAACGTGCAGATGGCGCTGTTACAGTGTTAATTCACTAGTGAAGAAACAACATAGTAGTTCCAGGCCTCCGTCACTCTTGCTACCTGCGTGAAATAATTACCTAAAATCGCGATTCACCCAGGGTGCAGGGCTAGCGCGTTGTAGGCAATTGATGAATTTCAACGCTGTTTACGTGAATAGTTTTTGTAAACGATTGTTGTAATTTTTGTTTAGTGTTTAGTATATTTAATTGTAGGATAAAATAGTTCAAAAAGTTTTAATGTGGTTTAAAGATAATATATAATTACCTATCTATTCGATAAATTATAATGACAAAACTTCGAACCTACTATAATTGTTGCGTGGATGGATGCCTAATGAGCAAACATATAATAAAAAAATAATACCTAAGTACTTTACTTTAAAACTTAGTTGAAATTTACTTCACTATCTAAGTAGGTAGCTTACATGACTTTAGTAATTAAAATATTTTAAGTTATCACAAATCACTGAAATTAAAACTTTGTTTCCCAGATTTTTAACTAATTATAATACATTCACATTTCATTTCGAAATCGTATTTCGGGTTTATTTGTTATAGGGACTATATGGATATATATATATATATATATATATATATATATATATATACATATATATATATATACATATATATATATATATCCATATAGTCCATATGGCAGAATGGCTGGAGGACCTAAGCACTATGCTCAATGACCGCAATAGTATTTTACTTATTCTACTCTAAATTGGTGATTTCTTTTTTTATTGACGATCCTGCAGGTCATCATCATCAAAAGAACATTTTTCTATATCTGTGTGTCTGCCCAGCTGTTTGAAGATCATTAGCTCTTTTTCGTTTCGAGAGATTTTCAATTTTTAATATAAGTAATATTATGTAAAATATATTACAGAAAAAACAAACTCACGAATATGCTATGCATAATTTAAAAATGTGCAAAAATGAAATAGCATACTACTTAGGCGTTGCTTTGTGCAACTTCTATTTAAAACGCAATTTCTCTATGTAACTATCACAATGACACTATGTAACAAATCAAAAAAGGACTTTAAATATAAAGGGAAACTAACCCTTTGTTATCCCTAGGGCTGCAGCGTATTTCTAATAACTACTAGAAAATAAGAAACTGCGCCTGCCAATCCGCCTGCCAATCGTGGCAACTATGGCAAAATCTGCCCTCTTACCCAATCTATGGAAGAGGCCTATAATCAGCAGTGGATTTTAAAAATCTGTATTGAAAATATATAAAATAAATGATTTTATAAACAGGAACGAAAAAGGTAAATAAAACTAAATTTGTAGCTGGCAACTTTTCAGATTTTGTTCTTTAATAATCAGTTGTATTATCATCAAGCGAGAAGTCTGACATGTCCAGGTTTTCGATAGTCTCCGTCGTTTCTTCGGATTTCCAGTCGTCGAACACTTCGCCAGGGTAGTGCATGTGTTTGGCGAAGGCAGGTTCAGCGTATCGATGGTATCGTCTCCATTGGCGGTCCTCGACTTTCCAGTCCCTCACATGAGGCAGCAACCATCGTAACCACTGTGGTACGAAACTGTCCATATAATAAAAGCGTTTTCTCCAAGCCCTATGGGTATCGATGTAAGTGTACTTATTTCCGTTTAGCCATTCTGGTATCCTAAAAGTAAAAGTAAACTTAATTTAATTGCTTATGAATGAATACAGTAAAGTAAACATTGTTAACGGAACATTTATAACGGAATAACGTAAACATTGTTACAAATAAATACTCACAGGCTCAAATGTCTCAGACCCCATCTGTACGCAGTGGTGTAAAACCATGATGAGAAGGGGTTAAGGTGAGGAAAGACATGCCGAGCGTTCCAGCCCGCGGCTAGGGCTATCACCGTCACCCCCACTTGGTATCCGTTGATCAAAACGACCGTACCAGCTTTAATTTCTGCCACCGATGGTTGCCCAATCCTTGTCTTTGTCTTATCTGCGAATGAGATAAAATAGCATTGAATTGTTTCAAAATAATTTATTTATATAACATTCCACTATACGACATTTGTTACCATGATAAATAGAATAAAACTAAAAGCTTATATTAACATACAGTCCTACTCTCTGCGGTATAGTTCCAAGGACGCTGGCTGCGTTTCCAAAAAACCAGCCCTCATGTCACTAGCAGCGACGTTCATCGGAACTTCACCGTACGTAGACAAACAAGGGGCACAAATATATAGTCACCTGTCAGAGACTTTGAAATTTAAAAAGACTTATTTAAATTTGTTTTAATATTCATCGTGGTTGAAATGAAACTCCATATTCTTATTTGGTTGTAGACTTTACCAGATTTCGCCAGACATGTAATCTTATGTAAATTTTTTCTTTGCAGGTTGAGAATTAGGTGAAACATCATAAAATGGCTCAAGGAAGATTGTCAATGCAGGAGCCAGAGTAAATTACCTCTCACTACGAAGTGTGGAAGTGCAAGGGTCAACGGACGTCATGCTGTTTTGGATCCAAAAACCACTAAAAACTGTCATTCAAAGTAGATGACAATTGGATCAGTGGTAGTTGGTAAAATAACCGGCCATCCTTCAAGCGGCCGGCCTTCCACATCAAGATCAGAAAACAATCTTTAAATTGTCGAGAGATGTTCACAAAAGCCTCGACTAGTTGACTCGTCAAGGAGCTCTTGAGAGCGGACTTACACGGCACACTGTATTGACAGCCCTTAAGTCCTTCAGTTTTCGTCCTTGAAAGTCACATTACTGCCAAGAAATAACTCGAGAAGAATGTGAACAGGGGTTATTTGCAGGTCATTGAGACATGAAAATATGGTATTTATGCAAGATGGAGCTCCACCACACTTCTAGTCGAATGTCCGACAGTGGCAGGATAACCGCATCATAGGATGTTGGTTAGGTCGTCGTGGACCACACATGGCCTGCTCCTAGCCCGGACCTCACGCCTTGTGATATTTTTTTAATATCGCAAGATAATATATTATTACTCTTTGTAATTGCTCGTATAAGGGAGCGTTGATAAAATAGAGCGGATTTGCTGGCGGGATGTTAACTGGAGAGCATACAGTAGCAGTTAGATGAGCAATAAATAACACTTCTTGAGAGTTTCTTCTTATTTTATTTCTTGATTCCTTATTATTACATTGCCGGATTTGGAATGTTTTACCACGAAAAACCGCCCCTTTTTTATAAGCGACTGTATATAATTTTATATAAGCGAAAAAATCGCACACGGCATTAGTGAATCTATTGACCAATCAGAGCACAGAATAACCCTTTCTAAGAGAGATTTACAATTTCCTTAATAAACGTGGTAAAACATACCTTACAACATTTATATTTATTCCTAACGATAGATACAACTTATTTCTATTATTCTAAACCTAAATTATTCAATAAACCTTTATTTTACACTTATAAAAAATAAAAATAGCTTCGCGGTCGCTTCACGGTTTAGCTCCGGAGTAGGATAGTATTTTTTGCCGAACATACAAGTAGCGCCGCCAAGAGGTAGGAATGTACAACACTTTTTTCAGGAATAATGCTTAAGAATCTATACAATATTTTTTCATGAAATTTAAATCTTTCTCATAATGAAATAACATTATATAGTGATTAATTGACATATTAATGTTTCTTTTGAATTACTTTAAAGGAAAAAGAATTACATTAATCACCTATATGTTAATAGCTCTTAAAGTTATGATAAAAGAAATCTTACTAGAAAATAAGCTTATACTTGCGTCTAATGTTCTAATCAGACCTAAATAATATTAAATAGATTCATATAAGTTACTTTAAGATAAGAATAGAAGTGTTTAATTTACTTTCCTGTTTTCAGCACTAATCAGTCTTTACACTTAGCTTTATTTTACGAATAGGAAACAATTAAGATTAAATACTATCACTTAGTTTTAAATCACTGATAAGGAATAATTAAGATTAAATGTTCGAATTCACTTTGTCGTCGCTAACACTCTTGATGAACTGGAAGTAAGAATTCAGTAAGTAATAACGAATATACCTCAACACTTGCTACAAAAGTCCGTAGCAAATATTCCAAGATGTTTGCAAAAACTGGTAGAAGATGAAGGCACTTATATAGAATTTTGACTTCCTTTGATTTTTTTATAACTCACTCACTCACCCACTCAAAAAATAATAATCTTCTAATCAAATAAAGACAGGGACCTTTTCAACCACCTGTAGAATGTGATTCAATCTACATAGACACCAAGCCGCGACTCACGGATTATATAGGCGCTGATACTGTTAGAACATATTATTACTCTATCTATTATAGGAGCTGGACAGTAGGCTTAATGTTCTGCATATACATTATGTAAACACAAATCTCTATACAAATTAAGGTGATACCTAATTCTAACAGAGTACCGTAATTCAAAATTTCAATCAGATTTCTCCAGGAATAAAAACTGTCAATACGGAATCGCTTTACCTGCTCGGTGCTCCGTTGTTTTTTGATAGAATTAAACCTGTTTTAAAAACAATATTTGATCAATTTTTAAATCACGTTAATAAATTATATATCTTAAACCCCCATATTGCCCTTATTATTGTAAAATATTGTCTCCTTGTACCTAAATTTACATACTTATTACGCTCAAGTCCAGTCTGGAAATGTTCGGATATTTTAAAAGATATTGATAGTAGTCTTAAAATTGCTTTGGAAAATATTCTAAATTTGAAATTAAATACAATACCATGGAATCAAGCCACTTTACCTATCAAATTTGGTGGTATTGGAGTAAAAAACATTTCTAGCGTCGCATTGCCTGCTTTCCTTGCTTCCGACACATAGTGTCAATGATTTATGTAACATAATTCTAAAAAATAAGGTAGACCTGTGTTTTGCTGCGGCGGAGGCAAGGCAAACATGGCTTGCGGTCTGTCCCAGCGAAAATGTCCCACTGGAAGTTAACCAACAAAAACAGTGGGATATTCCGTTGGTACGGATTGTCCAGAAAAATTTATTTCAAAATTTACACAGTCAACAAGATCAAGCTCGCCTTCTAACTGTTTCGACTAAGGAATCTAGTCACTAGTTACAGAAACTGTCTACCATCAAGTAATCTCAGCACATTGCTTGATGGGGAGAGCTTGCGCATCGCCGTAGGAATCCGGCTTGGAGCGGCAATCTGTCAACCTCATCAGTGCCCCTGTGGTAGCAGCGTCGATGAGTTTGGGCTCCACGGACTTTGATGCAAGAAAAGTGCAGGTAGGTTTTCCCGTCACGGTTCTTTAAACGAAGTCATCCGAAGAGCTCTTGTCTCCATAAATATTCCCTCGGTTTAAGAGCCTTGCGGGATATTTAGAGACGATGGCAAGAGACCCGACGGTATGACTTTGGTCCCTTAGGACAGAGGTAAAGTCCTAGTGTGGGATGCTACTTGCGTTGACACTTTGGGGCGGCCTCTCATCTCAAGGGTACCTCTTTTAGAGCCGGGGCGGCATCAGAGGCAGCCGAATTTAGTAAATATGAGTCTTTGAGAAATGACTACATATTTGCGCCATTTGCTGTAGAGACTATCGGTCCGTGGGGTCCACATGCAGTGAAGTTCCTAAAGGAACTGTATCCACGGCTGGTCGTCGCTGCTGGTAAGAGGGCTGGTTCTTTCCTCGTTCAAAGGCTAAGTATAGCTATTCAGCGAGGAAACGCAGCCAGCGTTCTTGGCACTATACCACGGGGAGCAGGTCATTAAAGTTTCTTTTTTATATTGTATATAAATTAATATAAATTGTACATATTGTAATTTTAATTGTAATTTTGATTTAATTAAATTGTCTACTAAATTAAGGCGAAACTCTAGTATTCAACACATTACTGCCAAAGAGCGAGTTTTGTTTTCCTTTTGTTTTCGCTGCTGATCCTTATATTATTCCAAAGACATTTAAGTATGAACTAGTAAATATATTTAAATCTCTTTGTATTATTCATAGGTGAAATAAATTGCACTTAGATGTCACAAATGTACACTTTATCAAAATATATTAACCATAAAGCATTGAGTTCTGATGTAGGACTAAGACAAGCTAGAGATTTAAATTGCAAGGTTTTGACTAACGTAGCGTTAGTCAAAACCTTGCAACTTACGAAAAAAAAAAACAATTATGGGATTAGTACGTGTGCCTTTTGACATTACTTACGTGTTGTAGGGATCGCCAAATCAACTCCTAGTCTTGGCCTCCAAAAAAATGATCCTGGCAAAGGGCACTGAAAAGTAAAAAAAAAAACATATAACAGTAAATTTACATTTTAATACACATACCTACAAATTAAATTGAAGAGTTTTTCTGTAATGTCAAATTAGCTGCCTTATATTGAGCTAAGGGGTTATTTGCAGGTCATTGAGAAAAGAATAACCTTTTTTTTAAAACGTTACCCTATACAATGATTTTCTTCTGTATCGTGGGGGCAGTTTACAAACATAAATTGCACAAGGACAAACATCCAGACCTGGAACAATTATTTACAGACCATACAAATACTCGTTCCGTGCGGGATTCGAACCCCCGACCCCCAGCGCAGCCACTCATTGCTAAACCACTGCACCATGGAGTCATCAAACAAGCCTATTTTACGCCCTTCTTGGACGATATTGATTATACCTCCATCTTCCGGTAGCTCTAAGATATTTTTGTTTTTCTCTTTATGAATATTTTTAGCGAATAAAACTACTTTTCTCATTGTTTAATTCCCGACATTTTGTGTTTTGCAGCACCCATGGTCACGGGGGTTGAGGTGGTTGACCGCCCGATATAAAGATAGCTCGGAATAACTTTAGCTTTTTAATTATTACTTTTGGTCCGATGAACGCAAAACGAAGTTACTGTGTCTAAATGTGGTTTTGTTTAATGTGTAGTGTTCGCGTCAATATAAGTAATTATTACATTTTAAGTCCGTGTTTGATTACTACCTGATGATAAGAGATGATACGATACTATCAAAGATAATACCTTGGGAAATCACACTCTTAATATAAGTGGTAAAATTAAAAATTTTAACAATCAACTTCAATAGACATAAAACGCGAGCATCACCAATGTAGTCAAAGTCAATTAAATACGCATTATTAAGGAGAACTCAAAAACTACGCGTATTTATCAAATATATATCGGACTACATGAGAAGAAAAAGAATCATCGAAATCGGTTCACCACGTGGTAGAGCCACGCTGCAGCTCTGTTATGGTTGTAGCACGAATGGATCGGTTCGACCGGGGTAGGACCACGCTCTCCCAGAATACCAGCGTAAAATGGCAGCTTAATATTGTTGTATTTCGTATGGTGAGTGTAGAGAACCGGAGACGATTTTTTACTGGAAACGAGGCATTCCATCTTAGTTTTCAGACGTGACAACGTATCCGAGTTTTGATTCTTAATCGAGGATAAATGTTAGATGTCTATGGGCCACAGCATCTACGTATCATCAGGTGGACTATGCGGTCGTTTGTAAACCTTATTCTATAACAAAAAATGTAGTCAAAGTCAATTTAATACAAAATATTAAAGATACCTAACTCAAAAAATACCGGCCAGATCTTTATCAAATTAATATCGGACCACACGAGAAGAAAACGAATCATTAAAATCGGTTCATCTAGAAGATAGTTCTGAGGTACCTATTGACTCTTGCCTTGAAGAAACGCACATTATAATCGGATGGAGAGACACATTGAGATGTAAGGAATAGACATAAGCATATTACATATAAACGTATACACAATGTAACCTAATTGTAACTATTTAAGGATTGATGATTGCAAATATATTCAGTATTTATTCAGCAGTCTTGGTTTTCATTTCTCTCTCGTGTCACCACATTACATGGCGACCCTGCCAGGCGGTGCGCGTGCATTCGCAGCGCACCGCCGCGGCCTGCAATTTTTTAATAAAATGGGAAAATAATTTAATTAAATAATAAAGAAAAAAATCAGTTATTTAATTAACATACTACCGGATGTAACAAGGAAACCAAAAACTGATACGAGAAGTGGCCACAATAATAATTTAAAGAAGTTTACTCAAAATTAAAATTGAAATATGTGTAGTACTATAAAGACAATCAAACTATGAAGATATTAATTTATTAATTGGTAAACGAAGAACGAGGAAAATAAAATATGGATTTCAAGATACGGCTTATTACGGTTAATTTAAAGAGGCAAGAATCAGTTGTACTCCGGCGAGCTTAGCCCTTACCTTAGAATATTATGAAAACTGCGCCAAAAGAACAAAGAAGAAATCAGGAGGTAATTTTCGCACCTGAGTGACTTTTATTCAGTTATAATTTTATATTATTTTACTACTGTGTTCTGCCTAAAAATTTATGTGATAATAATATAATAGATTACATTTTTACGTACTTGATTTGAAATTTCACTGTGATATATTTCATAGTTTTTTTCCGTATCCAAATTTTTAAAATATCGTTTTAAGTTTTAGTTTATTTCTGTAAGGACATTAAATCATTAATTTATATAATAACTTACGAAAAATATTAAATTTTGTTCTTTGAATAATTAAGTAAATTAATGTGACGTTGTGTTAAGTTCATAGATGTTATAGTGATTTTAATTATTTTGTGTACTCGATACAATAAATATCATATTTCTAGAAATCTTTTTCGATCTACGTAAAAGTAATATAGTTATTAACAATGTAACTATGTCTTGACTTTTGTGTAAATTAAAGTAATGTTTAAGAATCACCTTTAAGGTACATTTTACTTGAACTCATATTATACCATATTGTACAAGTTTTCTGAAAATTAGGTATGAATCACAATGTGTGGTCAAAGTTCGATATAAATGCAAACATTTCCATATACGTACTTTGAAATTTAATACAAAGCTGTTTCAAATTACTTGCGCTGCTTGGATTACAATTTGTATTTTGATTTGTCCGTTGTTATGGTAGTGATGACGAATTAAGTTCCCAATTTCTTGGTTCTGTTCATTTTCATATGCAATATAGTAATTTAATTTCGGTTTAATATTGTTAGAATATTTAAATCTTTTCAACTATTCTAATGTATTATTTCCTCGAAAGAGAGTACTTACTTGTGAGGATTATGAAATAATTTCTTGCTGTATATGACTTTGAAACTCCTTTTATGTATACACTTTATTTTATTTAAATTTTGTTGTGCTGATATTGAGAGCCTCGTTCCCTGACTATAAATGATGTACTTAAATAACATATAAGACTATATGACGTAAATTTGTAAAATATGTATGTAAATTTATGAATAAGTAACAGACCATAATTATAAATGAAAAGTATTGATAGTATTATAGGTTTGAGTGACATAGGTAAAGAAAATTGTCGGTGATTAGCATATCTACATACAATCAGCCTGATCAGCTGAGAGTTTGGAAAACTATTAACTGATTAATTTTTTAAGGTTGACGGTTAAAGACGTAATGAGTTTTAATAAGCGAAATGAGAATTTATTATGAATTGTATAGAAATATTGTCCATAATAATAAGAAAATAATATATGAAAATAAAACAAAAGTTGGCCTTAATAAACAAGTAATGGAGAGATATGGGAACGTCCATCACTGGTAAAGCATATAGTTCTCAAGCACCCTGCTTGAGGACTTGATGCTTCCGTGATAGGATGATAAAATAGGGAGTTACGGGTACTAGGGAACAACGCCTTCAGTACAAGTGATGTACATGAGTTTACTCATATTAGTACTGTTAGGGACCAGAGAAGTCTTAAATTTGTTACCCTTAATAATGGTACACTGAGGTCACATCCTTCGTTGGATCATGGTGCGAACATAGTTTTCCTCTGTGACAATTGTTGGAGTCATTTAAAAGTGACTTAAAAAACGTAGACCTCAAGGTTGTGCGCACAACCCAAGGTACACTGTTACCTTGATACAGTATGAAAAAAAATGTACCAATAAAATAAAATGATTATAATACCCAAGTAAATGGGGGGCCCATATGTATGTGTATAAAGTACCCGCATGATAAATATCATGAAATGAAATATAATTGAAGTGAATTGAAACTCCGGTTCCCGATATTTAATAAATAAATACATATATACGTGAATAGAGAGAAATAAAGCTAGCTAAAAGTCAAAATATTAATTAAAAAAAAAAGAGAAAGTACGTACAAGATTTATGAAAAGAAATGATAATAAAAAGGCCTAACAATCTACAAAAATACAAGGTAATAATGGGATCCCCGACCAAATCCATAGGGTTGGATAGAAAATAGTCATGCAATAAAACTTATTATTTCTTAGTCGACACGGCCGCATCTTTATCCGCCGTAACATATAAACATGCTATCGAACGAAGTGTTTCATTACATAAAGAGAATGTAATTATAAAAGGTCTACGTGGCAAGGTACAAACAATCGTATATGTTTATATTCCATTAACGATTCATGGATCTGTTATTAATCACAAGTTCTTTGTTTTTAATTCGTTACCAATTTCGTCGCATGGAATTCTAGGTAGAGACTTTTTGAATAGATGTGGAGCATGTTTAGATTTCAAGAAAAATATTTTATCTTTGAAGTTAGGGTCAGGCCACACTTGTTGTTGCCTTTCACTAATAATTATAATATTAACGTATTGGAAATTCCCCCAAGAAGTGACTTCCAAAGTATATATTCAGGTCGGTACAAAAAACATAAACACTCACGCCTGTCACCCAGAGAGGTAGGCAGAGACTACAGACTTCCATTTGGCACGATCCTGACACACCTCTCTTGCCTCCTTCACATCCATACACCTACGCATACATGCTCGTCGGTTAAGGGTACTCCTAATTTGTCCCGTTTTCAATAAATCGCCAATTTGGTCGATAAATTTTCGCCTAGGACGTCCCTTTCTGACTCTGCCATTCACTTCTGCACCATAAATTTTCTTTGTCACTCTTTCCTCATTCATTCTTTCCACATGACCAAACCACCGAAGCATTCCTTTCTTAATCCTGGTCACAACATCATCTTGCAAACCACACTCTTCTCTTATTACACAATTTCTTACCCTGTCATTCAGATTCAGCCCTAACATACTCCTTAACGACCGCATTTCTACTGCGTTTATTCTACTCTCGTGCTTCTTCTGCAACACCCAACTTTCACTACCATACGTTAAAGTAGGGACCAACACAGCTTTGTGAATTGCCATACGTGCCATTTTCGACACATTTTGACTCTTCACAATAGAGTGCAGGGCTCCATTTACTCTGTTTCCTGCGTTCACTCGTCGTTCTATATCCTTATCATATCTCCCATACCTGCTAAATACGCAACCCAAATATACAAACTCATCTACTTGCTCGATCAACTCCCCTTCTATTCTTATTTCACATATCGTTTTACTTTCATCTCTTTCAAAAACCATAATTTTTGTCTTACTTGCGTTCACTTTCATACCCCTTTCTTTTAATGATCTGTTCATTAATGTAACCATCATTTGCAACTCAGCCGCCGACGACGCAAGAATAACTTGATCATCGGCGTACAAAAGGCATTTGATGGTTAACTCACCCATTCTTAATCCGCATTCTTCAACTTTAAAATTGTGCAAACAACTGTCCATAAATAGGTTGAACAACCACGGGGAAGCCACACAGCCCTGTCTGATACCTTTATGGATGCCAAACCAGTCCGAGTAGACCCCGTTGATCATAACACAAGCACTAGAGTCCCTATAAAGAGACTCCAATGCCTGTATCAAGCCAGCGCTCAACCCAAATGAGTTCAGTGTTTGCCATAGCACATTCCTATCCACTCTGTCATAGGCCTTCTCCAAGTTCATGAACGCACAAAAAACCTTTGGGTTTTTGGCCAAAAACTTCTCCGCGATCATGCGCATGGAGAAACTTGATCTGTACATTTGTCGGTACAAAGTAGTAAGAGAATGTTCACCTAATGTCGAGATCATTAAAGATAATAAGAATTATATTCTACATAAGAATAGAACAAAAATGTATTTTAAACCAATTACGTAACTATTATTAGGAATTTTGTTTTAAGTTTTGTATTACCTACTTGACTACAATATGGTAGAACATTATAATCTATTTATCTATAAAAAAATGTTTATAAAATATAATTAATAATTATGATCGACTCATTGTATTGACATACCTTATTATATAAGCGAAAATAAAATAAATTGTTAGTACATTTATTTTATTCTTGTTATTGCGGTGGAGATGAGATGTAAGGAATAGATATAAGCATGTTACATATAAACATATACACAATGTAACCTAATTGTAACTATTTAAGGATTGATGATTGCAAATATATTCAGTATTTATTCAGCAGTCTTGGTTTTCATTTCTCTCTCGTGTCACCACATTACAACATGCTGGCAAATTATTTAAATGAAATTCCTTAGTCGCCACTTAAGCTTACAACCCTCCAACATCTACGCGACGATATTGAGCTATTCCTCTACGCTGGCACCACAAGTACCTACAGTTTTATAAAATGTCTAGTACAGTGTAATCTCTATAACTCGATCCTCGTTAAGTCGAAATCCTCAGTAAGTCGAAAAAAATTGCCGTTCCCTTCCGCTGAACCCCTAAATACGCGGTATCTCGAATTATTTAGACTTTGTAACTCGAACAAAATGTTATTTCCCTACGAAGTATTGATAATACATATTTATATTCTATAACCCGAATTTCAAAAAGGAGACTCCATAAGTCGTAGTTAGTAAAATATAATGACGTCTTACTTGGAATTCCCCGAAATAATAGCAATAAAATCAAAAATGAATGTTCGGGTTTAGGGCTTCTAATTTATTGTTTTAGTCTTATAGTCGTGCAACGAATGAATACATTCATAAAACTTTCTAAGTAACACAGCTGTGAACGTTATGTTTGTTCCTTGTCGACACAGGTCACGATTACTTTTAGCGGAGCTTGTCCGTCAGTATTTATTTTGACTTTGGCTGAGCTTGAAAAAATAATTGATAAAAAATCTGCAAATAGTTTAAATCAAAAGAAGATAACGGATTTTTTTTAGTGTACAGTTCACTTCATTAATATGTAATTTGTTTAAATAAGTAATTTGTTTTAATATGTAAAAAATATATACATACTATAAAACTTCAATTGAATTGTTATTAAAATTCGACTCTACAAATCGAAAAATATACTTAGAAATCGCACCCATAAGTCGAAATTTCAGCAGTTAAATCATATGTATCTCGAATTTCTTGTTAAGTGGAAAACTCGTTAACTCGAATTTTTATGCATTTCCCTTGACATTCGAGTTATAGATATTTCACTGTACTATGTTTCACAAAATGTGGAGTATTTGTCTGTCTTATTGGCCTAGTGGTTTGAGGACGCGGTTGCTGATAATGAGGATCCCGGATCGGGTCACAACCAGTTATCGGGTTTTTCTGTCAAGAAATTCTTATTAGTAGCCTGGAGTCAGGAAGTTGGCGGTTATAGACTCCTACGCTTCGGAAAGCTCCTGCACATGCACCTGATCTCATGCACCTGATCTATGCGCCTGATCTATGCACCTGATCTCATGCACCTGATCTCCCTCCGGTCGTGGTAAATTTCCGCCCCACCGGACTATAAGAGTGAGGCAATAGAGAGTGCACCTGTGCTTGCGCATACACTTGGGCACTATAATCCTGTCCTGTGCCAATGACTAGTCTCCGTTGAGCCGACCGAGTTGACCGAAATTCGGTCTGGAAGACATTACATTTGTATAAAAATAATAATTTATTAATTAAAACAGAGTTATAAAATAAAAAACTACTCACCCTTGCCATTGGTATCATAAGAAAAAAAATAATTAATTTCACCATTGTTGACGTAGCTAACGTTATTGTATCGAGCTAACTCCATGAGATACTAATGTGCTACGGCTTTTGGTGTTTTAATGAAAAGTCTGTTTGGAATACAAAAATTCCAAGCAGCCGGATAGAAACTGACGCAAGATATTGAAGATCCGGTCTTTCATACGCTTCGATTGTAAGACGTGAAAATTATTCGGATTGTTTTTTTTTCTCTTTCATTTAATCACCAACAGATGACACAGTACTGAGACAAAAATATAACTCAACACCGCGAGAGCTATATGCTACGTGTTTGTCTTACAGGTAAACAAAACTTACGTAAATAGCGAAGTCAATTAAAAAAAAAGGGAAACAGATAACATAATGCTAATATTGTTCAATTACATTAGTTTATAGACATGAAACTATAGATGAGCGATGTAAGACTTTTTGTAGGGGATGCTATTTTGCTTTTAAGAACAACTATTCAATACTTTCAAACTTGTTTTGTTATTGAGTAATGTATATACTTTCATGTGCGTTTAATAAAAATCTGAATTGGTCGATGAGTTCAGTGATTATTCGTATACACCGAAATCGAAATAATAAGGATTTAGATTACTTATGTCATCCAGTTATTTCTTTATTATTTCCAACGGCTACGCAATTGCGTCTGTGTGTGTGTGTGTGTGTGTGTGTATGTGTGTGTGTGTGTGTCTGACGATGTGTGTGACGGTGTGTGTGTGTGTGTGACGGTGTGTGTGTGTGTGACGGTGTGTGTGTGTGTGACGGTGTGTGTGTGTGTGTGTGTGTGTGTGTGTGTGTGTGTGCGTGCGTGCGTGCGTGCGTGCGTGCGTGCGTGTGTGTGTGTGTGTGTGTGTGTGTGTGCGCACGTGCGCGTGTGCGTGTGCGTGTGCGAGTGCGTGTGCGCGTGTGCGTGTGTGCGTGTGTGCGCGTGTGTGCGTGTGTGTGTGTGCATGTGCGTGTGCATGTGCGTGCGTGCGTGTGCGTGTGCGTGTGCATGTGCGTGCGTGCGTGTGTGTGTGTGTGTGTGTGTGTGTAAGTACATAGCATATGAGATTTTCTGTGCCTCCATAAGACAGGGTCTTTAGCCAATTTATAATCAATAACTTGGAGTCATTTGTATTTCTACAGTAAATATTAAGCTGTTTGTTGACAAAATTATGACTTTAACAGTGGTAGAGCCACGCGGCAGCTTTGCTGTTGCAATATGGGCCGGCTCAAATCGGCTGGTACTACGACCTCACAGAATGCCGGCGTGAATTTGAAGCTCTGCTTCCGCGTTTCGTCTGGTGAGTGTAGGTGGCCGGAGGCCCAAATCCCCCCCTCCCATCAATATGGTAGCGGAATTAAATGTCAAACTACCCCAGGAGGGTACCAGCACCCCTGGAGAATCCCTCGCTGAACATCCACGATCAAATTACTCCACTCCTGAGCGTGGGTGCTCAGGCTGTCCCGCGTATTCTGGGGGGAGGGTGCAAAATTCCGCTCAAGACTACAACTGCTCGGGGCAAATGGAGCAACAAGACCAAGGCGACCCCTGCCACACTATCCGTGAATTTCTGCAATATCAGGGGACTTCACTCTAATCTAAACGCCGTCCACTACCATCTCGAGACGGCGAGGCCGGCTCTGCTCTTTCTGACCAAGATGTAGGTGTCCTCGCTGATGTCTCGTATCTCTCCTACCCGGGGTACAGACTGGAACACTCCTTTGTGCCTCGGGCTGGAGTTTGCGTTTACGTCAGAGAGGACATCTGTTTTCGACGCCTCGACAGTCTTGAAAGTTCAAATCTGTCCATCCTTTGGCTATGCGTAGACAGCGACGACCATCCGCGCGTCTACGGGTGCCACTATAGGTCCCATATCGGTAATGCCGAAACAGACCGACTCTTCGACCACGTCGAAATGGCTACAGATTCGTTGCTACAGCAGATCCCCTCCGCAGAGATCATGATCCTCGGCGACTTTAATGCCCATCACGCCGAATGGCTTGCTTTACGTTTAACCGATCATACGGAGAGATCTGTTCATGATTTTGCCTTGGCATATGGTCTGACACAACTGGTTACTTCGCCTACGCGGATTCTAGATGTGGAGGATCATGCACCTTCCCTATTGAACCTTCTGCTGACCTCTCACCCGTATAGATATCAGATTTCTGTCAACGCCTCTTTAGGCTCCTTGGACCATTGTCTTGTCAGATTGTGGTGCCACTCACGCTGAAATCGCAGTTGCATTCTGCAGGCTGCCGCCGTGTTTGGCAATATAGTTCAGCCGATTGGGATGGGATGCGGTCTTTCTTTGCATCCTACCCTTGGGGGTGAGCTTGCTTCTCGCCGGACGATCCCAACGTTACTGCAGATTCTGTCGCTGATGTGATACTTCAGGGTATGGAACTTTTTATTCCTTTCTCTGTGGGTCCCATTGGAGACCAATCTTAGCCATGGTTTGGTCGCTCCTGTAAAATAGCATCATGCTATAAGCAGGAGTGCTACCAAGCCTGGGATAACGTAACAACGTCCTGGGATGTAAACACCAGCGTTCTAAAAAAGAAGTGTAATTCCGCCTCTAGGTCATTCAAAAGAATCATTGCTAATGCAAAGTCGGAGCACATAGGCAGAATTGGCCAGAAATTAGTTCGCCTTCCTTCTGGAACCCGTGCATTCTGGTCTCTCGCCAAGGCTGTCCAGGGGAATTTCTGTCAGCCATCTCTTCCATTTCTGCACAGGGAGGACAACTCACTGGCCCATACCGCAAAGAAGAAAGCCGATCTGCTAGGCTCTTTCCTTGCGTCCAACTCGACTCTCAATGACGGGGGGAGTACGCTGCCGACCATCCCGCGGTGTGAGTGCTCCATGCCGGAAGTGCAGTTCACACAGGGCTCGATAAGTCGAGTGGCCTGACGGAATCCCCCCAATCGTGCTGAGGACGTGTGCTCCAGAGTTGGCACCGGTTTTAACGCGTCTTTTCCGGTACTGCTACGCCCTAGGCGTAGTCCCAAAATCATGGAAGACGGCTTTCGTCCACCCGATCCCTAAAAAAGGCGATCGCTCAGACCCGATCAACTACCGGCCTGTCGCCATCACCTCCTTGTTCTCCAAAATAATAGAGTCTAATGCTAACTGTCAGCTCATGGGGCACCTTGAGGATCACCAGCTGATTAGTGATCGCCGATACGGTTTTCGTAGTGGTCGGTCAGCTGGTGATCTTCTGGTGTACGTAACTCACAGATGGGCACAGGCAGTAGAGTCCAAGGGGGAGGCATTGGCCGTTAGTTTGGACATTGCGAAGACCTTCGATCGGGTTTGGCACAAAGCGCTTCTTTAGAAGCTCCTTTCCTATGGACTTCCCGAGAAATTGTGCAATTGGATCACCAGCTTTCTTGCAGATCGGAGCATCAAGGTCGTTGTAGAGGGTGCAAGCTCCGATTACAAGCCTATTAATGCTGATGTTCCACAAGGCTGCGTGCTATCGCCAACGCTGTTTCTTCTGCATATCAATGATTTGTTGCAAACTCGTAACATTCATTGCTATGCAGACGACAGCACTGGTGATGCTCTTTACATCGGCCGTGCCAATATTTCTCGGGTAAACGTCTCCGAGTACCAGGACAAACTTATGTCTGAAGTGGAATCTTTGCTGAACAGGGTCTCGGATTAGGGGCGACTAAATCTAGTCCAGTTTAACCCCCATAAGACACAAGTTTGCGCGTTAACCGCTAAAAAAACCCCTTTGTCGTATCTCTTCAGTTTCTTGTGACACTTCAGCTTACTAATCCGTTGGGCTATGTCAACCACTATGGTTCCACAGCGGATATCCTCGTTTCTAAGTTTATCAAGCAGAGAAACCCCGAGCATAGCCCTCTCCATAGTTCGCTGAGCGACTTTGAGCGTTTTCATACGACCAGCAGTGAAGGACCACTTCTCAGTTACATGACCTATGTATGTAATCTCTCACTGGCAACAGTACCACTGTAACAACTGGCAACACGCACTGGTTGTACAGTCTCGTTTTCAGGTTCTGATGTGTAGCTGACGAGAAGAAGTGTAGTAATTTATAAAAAGCCGAACGCTGCCCAGCCCAGTTGGATCCGTCGATTGACCTCTCGTCCAATGTTGGACTTACCCTCTCGTCCAATGTTGGACTTACCTAGTAGTACTATTAACTAGTATACTCGTAATGATAGCAAATAATACTTCATTTCCATTATACCTGGAAACTAACAATTTGCTGTCAGACAGCAATTTGGTTTTAGGCCTAAGAGATCATGTAATGATGCCTTGCACTAATTGACAGATTATGTCATAAGTAATCTTGACAATGGTATGCACGCACTCTATTGGTATCTTTTTAGACCTTATCAAAGCATTTTATTGAGCGTTTGAGTTTCTAAGAGAGCTTGTAAGATTGAATGGGAATTTGGACACCGAACACATGTCCATCGTTGAGCAACGATATTAGAACCAAGGCTATATTGCGGTAGCGAAGTTGTTGGAATATATAATATTCGTTTAAACACTAATGTATGATGAGAAGAGCCCTCCATCTCTCTCGTGCCATTTAATTCCCGTGGATTTTTGAATCTTCGGCGTGATATTATTTCATCGTCAATTATCTTCAAAGTTTACTTTATTATACTGAAGTGACATTACAGTATACCTGATGGGTGGCTACTGTGGCCACCACGGTCTGCGGACACCAGCAGCCAACTTACTGCACCTATAGGTATAGTAAAAACACAAACACGGTATTTAAATTTATAATTTGGTGAAATTCAAAACCCTCAAGACTTTTATTATTACTTCTGGAACTAGTAAGGTACGTAAGGGTAATATGGTCACCATAAGCTTTGCCGCCCTATAAAACCAAAACTAGGAGTAGGACAGAGACAAAACACAAAGTGGTATACTATAACTATTATATTTAAAAAAAATATAGCATATAAGCTTTGGCAATAGTTAGAAACATTTCGAAAAATCTACTTAAGAAATCTCCCTACACTACACC